TAAAGGATGAATCAGATATATTGTCCAAAATGTCACTGTGCTGAGAAAATTTTACTTTCAGAAAAATATCTCTCTCTAATAATCAGTGACACCTTGTTCGTCTTTTATACAAATATAGGGTGTCCATAAAAGGTCTGTACACAATCTGAGCACATATTGCCGAGGTCGAAATGAGCCGATTTAAAGCAACTCAGTTGAAATATAAAATTCGATTCTTTAAAAATTTCAAACAACTTTAAAAATTGGTAGCCTGAGGTTTTTTGGGATGCAAAACCCGAATACAGACACCTTTTCACTGTGACCATTAAGGGGCTCCTTCACCATTCCTATGACATACTTTATGAAAAGTCACATTCACATAGATACGGTCAGTACGACGCCGGCATCATCATTATTTCTAGATTTCCGGAAATTCTTCTTTGAATACATTATAACTGAGTATATCATAACAGTCATGGGATACAATAGGTTTCAATCCTACTTCGTCGAGTATTACGAATAATTTTCATAAATCTCTTAGCCGCTGAGTGAAGTTGATTACCTACTAATGACGATAAATTATGATATTTTGCAATAGTATCTATAATTTTTCACTTTCGTTGTATTACAAAATGATAAACATAACTTGTCGGTCATTTTTTTTTATGAATTTGTTTCTTTATAAAACAGATCTATTTTCTAGGAAAGTTGCAGACTATACCTTGCAAAGGCGCATGCTACTTTCAGCCCGTCCACACCACACAAAATACTGGCAGGCACACCGAGAGCTGATCTGATTTTGTTATTATGTTTGTTTTTGTTCACCAGTTTTTCTAGTGTTGATTTTTGATCTCCAGTTATTCCGTTAGCCTATGTCTACAATTCTCAGTTGGTTTTTTACTTAGTTGATCATCGTTATTTTTCATGATATGATCAACAACGACGCCAAGTTGTCTTCTTCTTTTATCATTTTTTCATTCCTTAGTTTTTTGCTAGCTATATCCTTCATCACCAGCTATTTTCAGACTAGATTCAGAATGTACGTCAAACCTGAGGAGTTAGGAACTTATTTTATGAGAATTCATTTGAAGGAAACTTCCCCATAATACTCAAACATATGAAGTTTCAGAGGAAATATCAACGAATGCATAAAAATCAGATTTCCGTTAAAAAATATATAACTGGCAATGTTGCCGAAAGCACATGTATACGAAGCACACTGGTGGTATCGAATTCAAGTGACTTCTCCGACTTAAGGGCGCCGTACATTATGCTATTTCTCGGCAAGTTTGAGGCAATGCAATTTTCTCGCAATTTTCTCAATTTATTGCAAGTCGCCGTACATTGAGATATTTCTAACATATTTTCTTGTTCATATTCACTATTTCCAGGTTTTTTGAGCCTTCAATGTACTTTTTGAGGTTATTTGGTGTTTCAGGCCACGTTATGGAGAAAATTTGTATTTTATCAAGATGCTACGATGAATATTACTAAACTTGCTTTGAAATTGCAGGAAAAATAGGACTGGTTCTATTACGAAACTTGCATGAAACTTGCCGTGAAATATCACAGACGTATGCGCATTGTTCGATTCAAAATTGCATTGCATCGAACTTGCTGGTAAATAGCATAATGTACGGCGCCCTTTATATTGTCCTTCTAGTTCTTTGGGTTATGTGATATTTTCCTATGTCTATTTACATCAAGTGTTGTCCTGTAAGTGGGTTTCTACCTGGTTTTCTGTAACATGTAGTGTTATTTTGTGTCCAGGGCAATGAATAATGACAGTTCACTGAAGCCACACCACCTTTTGATAGTCAGCAACTTCAGTAGAACTTTGAGTCGAAATATTTGGAATGAATAGTATGTCTGCTCACAAATGCCTGTCTTTCAGTGAATTTTTCTTGATTTCGAAATAAAAAATCAGCAGATTCAGTACTGTTAGTTGAATTCGAAATATAGCCAGAGTAACCTCCAAAAGTTCAAAAAAAATTAATTTTAAAATTTTTGTTAACTTAAAAAATGTATCTAACTGAAGGGCTGATCAATATTAAATAGTTGAGTTTGCCTTTATCATGAGATGACCATGTGCCATGTGCCTTCAAGAGCAGCACTGGTGTTGGTAAGATCTGTTACATGAACTCTACAATAATTAAACAGAATTTTAAATTGACTCGGCCGTTACTTGATGGAAATCCATGATTACAATTAAACAGAAATCTATTTTATTTTAGACTTCTTCTGCTGTAAATAGCATACGAAACATTTTGAAGGACAGAAATGAATTTGTGAGTTGTATATCTAGTGTGGACTTTTAATACCATGAAATTTATGATGCTGATTTGCAGATAGGTCTGAAAATTGAAGTCCGCCAGAGAGGATGCAATGATATCGAACAATTAAATGGGTATTAGGAATACCTCCAGTATTCTGCCACCTTTGTCATATTGAAAAATATTGAATGCTGCATTCTACAGATTGAACTGCTAGTGACTAGTGGTAGTAGTAGTACCCAAAAACCTTTTACAATTAATTTAATAGTTCCTATGGATTTACTCCCTCATTTCTAGAATTAAAGCTGTCAATTTACTCCCACAGGAGGAAATAGCTATTAACATATTAACTGCCAAGAAGCCCAAACGTGGGGTTTCACATGCTTGGTTAAATCTGCTCCGAAACCCTTCCACTAAACATGATACATAACAAAACTATTTTTCAGTTATAAGTTTTGTGATATTGTTGAAATAACATTGCGATAATGTCCTTCTGAAGTATCCAACATAATATTATGAAGTTAATCTTTCATGAGACGTTGCATCAATATTGAAATCAATATCATTATATACATAATACTGTGATATGTTGATTTTAGGTTCATCAGATATATCTCAGACAGAGTTGTTATGTTATTTGTGCAACGTTTTCGTTTCACCACCTTATAACGTAGCTTACATGTATAGAGGATACAAGGGGATAAAATTTCTCCTTCTACGGCAAAGTAATCTTGACAACTGTCAAAAGTCAATTCGCTTCCATTCCAGCCATTTTGTTTGTGTCTATTATGATGAACAGGTCAAACAGTGTGATCAGTGAAAATATTGATTTTCAGATATTATTTCTAGTTTTCAAAGTAAGTTATAAACTAAACAAGTCTTGGACACAAATAAATTCGGAAGAAAATATGAATTATTCATGATACCTACTTAGATTCCACGTTTGCTCTGCTGGAATATAGAAATGCAACCAATCTGTATCTGCATTTCATAATATGTGAAATAGTAGGAGGGATTCGTGAATACGGATTGTGTTCATATTTCACGAATTACAAAAATAAGGGGTGAGTTATATATCATAGCTAGAAGAAGAACATAGAATAGAATTTCAAAATAGGTCAGGAAACTTCCAAAAACTCGTGTATATTGACCTATTACTTTTCAGAATGTCAGTGAGAGATCACTGGATTATGCAGAAATCATATAGCTAAGCTAGGTATGACTGGATTTATGAAGCAGAATAAGCAAAATGATAAATAGAAAGATAATAGTTAATCTCAAAATTTGACTGTGTAACTGGATCATACTTATAGTCTTTCAGGGGTACGGTAAGATCAATTCATATTCAGGGATAGATCATCTTCTCTGTCTTTTGTGGAGATCATTTTGATGAGTATCTTGATGATCCCAGACAAAATAAACATAACCTAAGAACAATGAATATCTAATATATAAAATTCTCCTGTCCCGGTCACGGTGTTAGTGGTCGAACTCTTCCGAAACGGCTCGACCGATTCGTATGAAAATTTTTGTTCATATTTGGTAGGTATGAGAATCGGTCGTTATCTATTTTTTAAATCGAAAATTCAAGATGGCCAATCCAGTATGGCGGACGAATTTCATTATACGATTTTATTCAAAATTGGTATCTAGGGATTTTCAGGGTCGAAGATCATGATTCATTCGTCAAAAATAGGAAATTCAAGATGGCAGATCCAATATGGCAGATGAGTTTTTAATTATGATCAGATTCCATTCAACAGTTGTATCTGGGGGTTTTTGAGGTCGGAGATTATGATTCTACCGTCAAAATTTAGAAATTCAAGATGGCGGACCCAATATGGCGGACGATTTTTGTAATTATGATTCAATTCTATTCAAAATCTGTATCTGGGGGTTTTCGGGGTCGGAGATTATGATTTTATTCTTTAAAATTGGGAAACTCAAGATGGCTGATCCAATATGGTGAAAGAGCTTTGTAATAAATAGTAACTATAATGAATCACGCTTTTATAGATAGCCAAACTCGAGGCCAAACTGAATAGAAGTAAAAACTTGATAGTATAGTTCAAAAAACGAGATAGATTGTCTAACTAAAAAGAAGTAGAAAATAAAAATAGTAGTTTGAAATACTAATGAAACACGATTTCATGGCTATCCAAACTGAAAAGAAGTTCAAAACAAAATAATAAAAGTGTGTTGATGAATATTTAACTAAAAAAATATTTTCTAGAAGAAAATGTATATAGCAAACAACGTGTGCCAAGTATCAGCATCAGCTATTGTAATAAATATTAGTTGGAAAAATAAACTAAAACATTTTTATAGATAGTCAAACTAAAAAGAAGTGAGCAGTAAATAAATGAAAAAATGAAGATATATAGAGTGCCAAAATAAAAAGAAGTAGAGAATAAGTAGAATAGTTTGAAAAACTAAAGAATCCCGTTTTCATGGATAGCCGAACTAAAAAGAAGTATAAATAAAATAATGAAAGTTCTTTGATAAATATTTATGTATATAATATTCACCATCAACATTACATTGTAATATTTAAAAGAGACACAAAGGCCTATTCCTGCAAATTATCTGTGACACTAAGCATCTCTCTGAATAACATCACAAAGTAACAATGTAATATAACATTTATGTTTAAGTTATATTTTCATGTTTAGTGGGCTAAGGCTGGCTCTCACAATACATTTGCACTTCAGACAATGAAACGAACTAACAAGAGACAAAGAAACCGACCTTATCGACCTTGATGATCTGTCCGTTCAGCTCGGTGCCGTGCAGCTTAGCGATCACATTCTCCACGTCTTCGACCGAGCCCATCGTGACGTAGCCGAAGCAGCACGAGCCAGGGAACCGAGCGTTCACGACCACCTTGGCGCCGGTCACTTTGCCGCAGGCGGACAGCGCAGCCTTCAGTTCGCTGGCGCGCGTATTCTGCGCCACGTTGCTCACCCACACGACGTTCGGGTTCGACTTCGCGCCGACGCGCTTCTGCAGCTTGTTGTCGGCCGATTTGGCGCTAGAAACAGACGGCGTTATATGGTCGATCGGAGGGATAGTGAAAGTCCGTTCGCACTCGTTCAAACTCTGTATCTCATAGAAAATGCAACACAAATTATGTAGATTGTCACAAACAAGTAATTATTCCATGATTACAATCAAAATCATTATTGCGATATTTTCATAAATCCTCAATCGTGCTTCTTCATATGGCACCAGAAAGTTTATAAACATTTGGAACACGTTTTGACATTGACTCTTTATCAATCTTTATGACTAGGTAACCTCTAATAGCAACGTACCGATGATAACCTAAACAATAACAATATTTGATATTTCAACTAAATTTAGATTTGTGGGTATTGAAGGGAGAGTATCAGGTAGTTGCTGTTAGTCGTAGAATCAATCGATTCGTACAGTCAGTTATCAATTTGATCAGTTAGGTCTTTGTGTGTTCTTCAATACAACCCTCTGTGTTCTACCAGACAACCCTCTCCGAAATGGCACTATTTATATTGTGAGTACTATGAGCTACCTTCAAATAAGATCTAGTGGTCTTATCCCATTAGAGAAACTAGGATCATGACAATATCATCATTTATGGTTTCGAAATCTTCCACTCATTCAACATTCAACAACAAATTGTTATGTCTACTACGAATGAAGTTCATATCATGGAAATACCCCCTTCATTAGACTCGCTAATAATATGGAATTTTTGCAAATCAAAACACAAAACAACACACTACAACGAAAGTGAAGAAAATGAAAAAAAAATTCGAATTCAATGTGTAGTCTTTACATAACACTTCCGTTTTTAAAGATGATTCGAGGGTTCATCAAGTTACTTTACATTCTGATAGGAATGAATTGAAATTTTCTATTGAGCTTTCCTGGTATTCACTCAACATGGACTGGACAAGCCTGTCATTAGAATCTGCATCTCATTGGTTACCCCCTAGATTTTGAGGTCCAAGTTTTTCAACTGGGCGTTCCGTGTGTTCAGACTTTGTCGTACGGTAATGCGTGGTAATGGTTTTTCACGAATCACTCATTTTAATGTTTCCGTGGTCTTAATAGCTATTCAAATATTATGGCGCTTTTGAAGGACTTTCGAGAAAACCAACGAAGTTAGTGATACTAATACGAAACTAGAGCCAGCGGAGTTCGCCCATAAAGACTTGCAAGTACAAATTCAAAGGATGATTTTGAATATCTATTTATGACTCAAGTACGGAAATAATGGATCATATTGTCGGCCGTGCGATAATGAGGGTCCGTTCGCAGGCTATCCACTTTCAATATCACTGTTTCTCATAGAAAATGCAACACAAAATGTGTATGCTTTCCCTCTTCATCAGACTCGCAAATAATGATAATATTTGATTTTTGCAGATCAAAACACAAAATAACACACTATACAACGATAGTAAAGAGGAGTAAAATACATGTTCGAAGGTTGCATCACACTTATGTATAGTTGTTCAGTTTCCGCTTATCGATAATATTAGTCTTGAGTTTAGTTATTAATATTTATAATTCAAAGATCTCTTCGAATTCCCCTCAGCACGCCTATGTCTCTTTTTGCGAATATTCTGTGATTTCTATCTCCACCACCGGAATCTTGGCTGGAGAGAGCACTCAAAAATGATTTCGAGAGAACCACGTTTCGCACGGTTTCGCTATCGCGATAGACTCATCTTTCTCTTCCGCTACCAGTTAGTTAGTTAGTGCACATAATCATCATCTATCTCTCTCTCTCTCTCTCTCTCTCTCTCTCTCTCTCTCTCTCTCTCTCTCTCTCTCTCTCTCAACTGCACCGGCCGGTTGCGTAATCACGAGTGCATTCATAAGAAACAAAAAAACGTCAGCTTTCGTCATCATGCACGCAGTATTCTCAAATCAATTCTAATGATCAATTATTAGATCAATTAATATTCTGGGATGAGGCATATGAGCCTAAATCTCTAATTGAGACAAATCTCGGACAGTCTTTACAAAGTCAGTTGAGTCCATCAATTTTCTTCACAATGGGAATGAATGCAATATTTTCCATTGAGCTTTCCCGATATGCAGTCAATTATATTAATTTTGATTGGTGTTTTTCTTCTGGGCGTTCCGTAATTTCACACTTTTTGAGGCAGTACAGTACGGTGATGTGTTGGAGCAAGTTTTTTACGAATTTCTGGTTCTATTTAAAATCCAGAAAACTCATTATTTCAACCATAGTGTTACCGTGTTCTGATTTGCAATTAAAATATTATGGCGGTTTGAATGCCGTTCGAGGAAACCTCGGTGGAAACGAACGAAGTTTTTATAATGATGGCATGCACCCTCTACATGGTTCATAGTCACCCTGTTGGGAGTACAGGTTGGCTCCCCTCCTAACAGTCCTAGAATGTTGAAAGTGGGTCCTTTCAAGAAAGTGTCCTTTGTACGCCGACCTATTCGTCTCCTGATTCAGGTTGCTTCCCCTTCTACGAGTTCTTGAATGTCCAAAGTGGGTCTATATTTGAGGGGTCTTTCCAGTGTCCTTTGTACGCTGACTTATTCGTCGCCTGATCCGTGTGCATCGTGCCTTCCGATGAAGGTTCAAAATCGCTCCCGAAGAAGCTCCATCTCAAATGGAGTGACATAATGGTGTGCAAATTGAAGAAATGGGATCATCGGCTCTTAGTCTTGCCTCAATTGATAGGTATGGAACTGAAAGACGTCTAATCTCAGCAGGACGGGGCCATAGCGCACACAGCAAGTGTTTGCATGGACTTTTCGCAAGACAACTTTCCCAGGCGTCGTATCTCCCAAGGCGATTTGAACAGGCCGGCGCGCTTTCCTGATTTGGTACCTTAACTATGTGGTACCCAAAATTCCAGGTTTTCAACAATCGTCTCAGGAAACTAGAAGCCCTCAAAAACAACATTCGAGTCCGAATATTCAGAATTCCTGTGGAAATGCTTCAAAGAGTGCATGGATAATTGTAAATTTCTTATATTAATGAATCAGGAAAAAAAAAATTTGAGAAGAATCTGCTTGATCTTTGCAATTTTTTTGAGTAGAATGTTATCAATGTTTGTGCTCTGGCTTTATTTAGGAGCGTTTCAGATAATTGGACTCATTTATTTCTTACGTCAAGAAAAACTTTTCAGTTTATTCGGTTGTTCAAATCAAAGTTTTCATTTCATCCGTCAGTTCTGTCATTTATAAAAAAAACACAATTTTCAGCTTTCCTAGCAGTGAATCGCCTGATATTTCGAGATAGGTACATCCGGAGGATCCTGAAACGATACTTAGCCTCAGAATCAATTTTCAGGTCAGCCGAATATCCATAAATTGTACTTGTTTTTTTGTATACTTCACCACATTTTCCATTTTTCAACTTCGTTTACCATATTCAGATCCATGACATGTTTCATTTTTGCTTACATTTACTGGTCACATTCACAAATACATAATTATAAAAAATTTCGCAAATATTACAATATTTAGGATATCAGGAAGAGATGAATAAATTCCAAATACTACTAGTTAGCAAAGGTTTGTCAGGAAATCAAAAAATCAAATAAAAATATTATGCAGTCAATATTCAAACGTTTTTTGGCACACTCTTTTGAAAAATCCTAGAAGATATAGTAGTTTGACATTGAATTTGAGATGAAATTCTCGATTTCCCTGTATTTTTTACATGACAATTGCTGAAATGAATGAATTATTGATATCACACCAGTAAACATACAAAATTTACATCTCCTCACAGTCCGCACGTAAATAGTGGCTCACTGCTAGACGTTCCAACGTGCAATAATGAAAATGTTATGTTGGTAACACAATAAAATTAGAAGACCATTCTTTCCTTCTTTCTTAATATTGATGTCAAAATGGTCATCTCATTGTTATCAAAATTAAATTCTCATAATTTCACGTTTGAACTCTCTGAGGTTAAAGGCATGAAGAGAATACATATTTTCCCCTTTCAATATTAACCCAAAGTTGCTTCGTCTTAAAGCTCACCAACTTATTTTGTTTACATTGCAATATGAATAACAAATCTTTCCGACAAAATTTAAATTTACTTCTTAAGAACCAAATTGATAGGTATTGGTTCATCATTGTCCAATTACCAACGTTTTTACGAAGTCATGAAATACGTTTCATTGACACCTCAAAGTGTTCACCCTGTCGAAATTATAGTTCATGAGACAAGGCTCCTTTTCGAAAAAAATAATATCCACTCCTCTATAACCCCGCCGTGGTTTCTTTGGACTAGTCTACCAACGTTTTAATTAGTAAAAACTTTTGTAAAATGGGCGTTTCTCATTGGGTAGAAAGGAAAAAGTGTCAATTTAGTGAGGAATTGATAACGAGTGACCACCACTTCGTTCTTAGGTTCACTTGTAAGATACTTAAATAAAAAACACAACAAAAATATTTGTCAGATTAAAATGTCAAGTATGCCTCAGCATACACTGAATGTTATCAAAATAAGGACTTTAGATAATTCATTACCAACCATTTAATTTTTTGAATATTTCAATGAATACTTCAAAAACATTATCGTGAAATTTCGTGGGTCATATTTCACAATTCCAGATATTCGGAATGAAAATATCAACAAATTTTGTCGGACCTCACCATGTGATTTTAGAAATATTATTTTTTGTAAAAATGGAGTCATTATGATATATAGCACTACAAGAAGAACTACATATCTGATGGAGAATACTGCTATGAATTAACTGGCGAATCATAGGAATAGATATCAGGAGTATTTACATGAGCAGTTCACAGATAGCATATTTCTTGCTTTCCCAGATTACCGAGTTTGTTTCTTTCATTCCGATATCCATAACGTAAAAATGTCCATCAACAATGAGCCTATCAAATATCCAGCAAGCGGAGGAATCATTGATTTTGAGACAATATGGCTTTTGCCATCGGAGATCAACTGGGGATTTACTTGCCTATGTTATTCTTATATGGCTAGCTTCATTAGAAAAACATTGTAAATCTCTAGTTGCGACATTAGATATATGGAAAGCATTCGACCGTGTTTGGCAACAAGGACTTCTTCACAAACTACCATCACACATCTTATCACCTCAGCTATGCCATCTTTTGTGGAGTTTTCTTTCAGGCAGATCGCTCAATTTGGTGGTGGATGGAGTATCGTCTGATACCATTGCCATCAATTTCGGCGTACCACAAGGATCAATTTTGGCACATTGTTCCTACTTCATATTAATGATCTGTTGGGAGTGGCAACTTGCCCTATCTACAGCTTTGCAGATGATAGTACTTTCTTCCAGGACTCCCTTCTCAGGAATCTACTCGGGAATCTAAGAACTCACAACGGCGGCAGGTCAATGCTATGACGATCTTGCTGAAATTACAGCCTGGAGAACTAACAACCTATCCATCGCAAAAGCTACTTCACAAAACGCGATTTTTTAATCCCAACAAAGAGCTAATTTGCACCTCAAGAGCCTCTTATGATTTACAAAGCACAACTGCGGCCCATATAATAATACTGATCCCACATAAGGAATTCAGCATACGTCACTGCTACATTATAGTTTATTACCTGTTTTGATGATAGAACAATTGTTTGGATAATAGAACAACGATGTTGAAAAAATGTATATGATACATGTTTGTTCATATACCGCTTATGTTTTGGTAATAGGGCAATGAAGTCACTTGATACCCTTGATTATATACACTAACAAGATGATCCAGCTCCATGTCAAATGTTGAAACCATATTTGTCCATAGTTCTTGGCTGGTTCCTGCGGGGCTAGCGAAACTCAGCAAAATATGGCTATCTAGAAATATCTTCGATCATACAACAGACTAGATGAGTAATCCGTAGCCCTCGCAATACAGTTTGTTTGGAACCAACATCAAAAGTGTTCATTTCATGCTAAACAAGGATAGCAACAGCTGATTCTCCCAGCAACAGTAGCGTAGGGTGAAAAGTGCTTCATGTTATAATAAATTCGTGACCCACTCTTGAATAGCAGCGGATATACAATACATAACTCTTTCTCAGTGATCCTTCCGCAATCTTTAGTGGCAATAGATATGAAACACATTTTTCTGAAAACTTGATTCAAATTTCAAATATTTCCAAAGATGATTAGAAAAACAGATTATTCGCGATTTAATTTCAATTCTTTCATGACGTTATTTAAATAGATGTTTCAAAACAAATTACACATTTCCGGTTCTACAAGATGGTGTTATCAGATTTTCGAACAGACTTCTTTTCTTCGAGCTGCCATCCCGCCATCACCAACTTCGTTTTTTTTTAATGGCCTTGGATTTTCTATTATGAGTTCTAATAGCTCTCAATTTCCTGAAATCAACGGTGTATCGGAATCATTCAAACAATGTATATTGATTGCATTGGAACTCATGGATTAGGAAGAGTAAATTATATTTTCAATAGGATTGAAAACAGATACTTTTTCCGCTAAGTACAATACACCATTGATTTGAGTAGATTGAAATCTCTTAAAATCCATGATCGTATTGAAAAAAAAACAAAGTTGATGATGGCAGCTCAAAGAGGAAACGTTATTTCGAAAATCGGATAACACTATCTTGTAGAACAGAAAAAGTCGCCATGAGAATGTGTAATTTGTTTTGTTATCCAAATAGAGTGATGAAAAATAAAAATGAAATTTTTTATCGCTTTTTCTCCAAAAATCTTTGGAAGCATTCGGTAATTTCCAAATTTCAATACGGCAATTTCATAGGCACGAAATTGCACAACTTTACCATAATTTAACCGACCCCATATCTCTACCGGTTCACGAGATCCCAACGATGAAGTTCGAATTCCAGCCTCCCTGTACAAACATAAGAATCCCAGAAACAACGTTTCTGATGAAATTGCTTCCTTTCCGATACATTTTAGAAGAGTAGATTGATAAATCATAGATGAAGAAACCCAAAATCATCTTCCACGAACATCATAGTAATTTCTTTCATCATGAGACACATGTCGCAGACATCTTATATTATGTAATCATGATTTATTGGATATGTATTGCTTTCACCTCTATTTGTGGAAACGATGTTGAAATTTCGTATGATCCGACACTGGCCGCTTACTTGTGAAATGACGTGTTTTGATTATTAGGTTTGAATTGTCTTTCACACATCTCACAACATCTCACCATTGTTAAAAGTCATCAATATCAGGTAATCAATTCATAATAGCCACATAAAACAGAACACAACTAGGAAAAATCCTTCAAAACAAAACGTGAACATCACAAAATATTTATTGCTGTCGATTGTCAAATGCCGAGTAGCGGTGTTGCGACATTGGCCAAATTTTATTGAAAATTCCCATATTGACATACTGAATGCTGAAACTCTCGCCAAGATGACCAGAATATTTATGAATCACTATGGATTAATTCTTCAGAATTGTTACTATACCTGATTCGACTAACAAATGTATGCATGCGTGGAACTGGATTCATGAACAGGCAACAAATATGAAGAGACAGGGCATTGATTACTTTTTAATCAGACGGCATGACAACACTGGCTAGGATTGGGAACTAATATTATGATTGTTGTGAGAATTCATGTTAGCATCAGGATATTTGTTATGTTATGCTTCTAGGGGGTTTGTTGTTCGGAGAGAAATATCATTCTCTCGGAAGCAGGAATCTCACTAACTTCTGATTTTTAAATAATAGAAATATTTCATAGAATTTCTGGTTTCATTTCTCTCATAAAGTGTATGTTAGTGTAAATAATCAGGATAATACTTTTCTGACACATGCTTTCAATATCAGAAGTCCAATACATTTCAAGGTACCTGTAAGATTTTAAACCGTTCATAACGAATATCTGGTATGCCCTATATGCTATATACATAATTTTACAAATGAACGTAAATATATTGATGATCAGTTATTTTCAATACCTCGCACGCCTGCGCAATAAAAACACCCTGTTCACAGTAATTTTCGCAGATAAACACGTTGGAAATCTCACACGCAACTATAGAGTGGTAATCATTTTCAAAAAGAGGTCCAATCACTTTGTAATGCATTTCCTAGGAGATTCAGCACACGTCCCCCTAGCATGACCCATTCATTCAGAAAACTGATTCTTACCGTACATGAAATCAAAAAATGTAAAAAAATAACATTATTTATAGATAAACTTGAACCTTCCCTGAACGGATCCCTTGAAGATAGCCTTTTACCTTCGTCGACTCATTTCACATTCCATGCCAATTACTTTTCCGTAAACGGACAAAAAAATACTCATCATCATGCTGCTTCTAGAACTACAAAATCTTTATCGAGAGCTGTCAAATCTGTTCGCTCCCGTTACTGTCAATTCAGGTTCAAGGCTTGACTGAGGCTGCGCAAAGTTGCAAGTCGTCCAACTCCGTTATCATCCCAGGAAATGAACTCTTCTGCCTGTTGGTTTGAAGTTCCTCAAGAAAAAAGCAGAGCCTCCGAAGCAGAAACTCGAAGACGAATTCCTCCATTGGTAATCTAAAAGCTCGTCCGCTTTCTCTTCCGACAGCGCGGGTACTCGAATTTATCTCTTCATGATAGCTCGAGAATGTTTTTTTTTCTTTGTTTCGGGGATTGTAGTTCTGAATTTCGCGGGCAGCATTTGATGAGTTTTGCGTTTATTAGCTGATGGAGAAACAAACCTAGCATTTTCTCCAGTACTTTTCCGCTGCTCCTGACTTTCTCCTTTGGATTCCGCAGATTTGTCCGTCTGTTCGGGTTTGGAATTGTCGGTTTCTGGCTCCATTGCAGCTTCACTCGACACACTCTTCTTATCTACAGAATAAATGAAATCGTTGTCATGCATGATAATAAATAAGTAATTTCATCCAATTCGAATTCTACATGTAGCACAACTCGTAGATCGTACATAAGAATATGAACTCTTTTTCTGAGAAAAACTCAGCTGGAACACTGCACCCAATTATGATCACATTATTTAACTGTCTCTATACGTAAGTATAGAGATAAACGGATTGAAAGAAACAAAAACTAACTGCATATAATTCCCGTTTACCCTTCCAGAATCAACTGAATGAAACGACTTCACAGCATCCAAGTATTATCTTTCTTCACAATTTCAATTCTTCTTGTACAGCTCAGATTTTCCATCTCTCACGATATTAGTTCAATCACCGAACTGTCTTTTTCCCACGTTCACTGAAGATATGTTCTTCTATCCTCTTCTGGCGAGTTTCATAACCATGATTTCTTCGCAGCGCAGCAACATTTCGTTAGATTTTATTCAGATATGCAATTAGTTTTTGATTTCTCATGTTTCCTTGTCAATTGTACCCAAGCAGCAGACTATTATCTAAACTCACCTTCAGGCTTTCCTTCATCCTTGGCCTTCTCTGGTGTTTCCTGGAACATGCCTTTGTGTAAAAAATAAGTCGTTGATTACTCTCTTCTCCTTACCTCAACTTCATTCAGTGCTTCGTCATCCTCCAAGGTCAGGCGTATCGGGGATTCGTGCCCGTCGTTTTCTTCTTCTTTTTTCGCGGCACTTTCTGGCCCTGACCCTGTTTTTGTTATGGCGGTCTTCTGGGTTTCTTTTTTGTTGGCGTCCGCTTTCTTTGTCTGTTCCTTGTCTGGTTGTTTCTTTTCAGGCTGGTCTTTCTTTTCAGGCTGGTCTTTCTTTGCAGGCTGGTCTTTCTTTTCAGGCTGGTTATTCTTTTCAGGCTGGTTATTCTTTTCGGTCTGGTCTTTCTTTTCAGTCTGGTCTTTCTTTTCGGTCTGGTCTTTCTTTTCGGTCTCTACTTTCTTTTCGTCTGGCACTTCTTCAGTCTTGTCAGTTTTGTCTTCCTCAGAACCTTCTAGAATTCATCAAGTGTCAATACCATAAACACTCCGTATACGGTATGATATGAGATAGGATTGCGTTATATATTTGAAAAACATGAATAAGAATTACACACTGATAAATCGTTATTTTGAACAGCAGATCGACGACGATGGTAAAACTACACCAACAATATTTGCATCTTAATTAAACTAATCCACATTTGAAAATACGTAATTTTCAAAGGTTAGGCATATTTTTAACCAGGATGTAGAATTCATCAAAATAAACCCTTTCACCAATTGCCAGAATAAAAATCGCAGAATAAAAGAAGCATAGAAAATTGAATATTTCATTAATTGCTGATACGGATCTGTCATGTTCATCGTATGTCTTTGGGCTATTCTTTTTCACTGTGCATTTGTTAGAAAGAAATGTATGTCCTCGATAATAATAAACTTGTTGGCATGCTTTTGGTTAACGGTGAGTCTAAGCAAAGTGCGGCCGCATCATGGCGATTCTGAAAAGATCGGTGACAACCATTTTCATTTACCAGGGCAATAACAGGATACATTTCATCGGTGAGATTATGAACTCCATGAGGTTGATACTTTCGTACAGGATGTTTGTATATAGAGAACATATAATATTTTTTCATTCAGTATTTTACCCGAGATCAAGTGTTTTATCGATTTTGCTCGTTTATTTGTAGGGTCATAACTAACGAACGATCCAGTATATTTTCTTGACATTTGGTACACATGTTGTCCTTCCTTCACGGAATTCAGGTCTGGATCAACAAACATTCAATATTTTTTTCATAGTTTGCTTTCAAATTTGACAATAGCACAAAGAAAAAAATCAAGCAGAGTTCCTTTCCGTCATACAATAACTATTACTCAAATTTTGAACCCGAATGAGTTTTTGTCTGGATTTGAATGGTTCAAATGGAATATCAACGATTTCGCGAATTGAATTATGAAAATAATTCATTAAAAACACATGGTAGTATAACTCTTGGTAATTTTGCACTTATCATGCGATGGTTTTTTTTTTCGAAAATTTTTTTTGGTACTTACGTATTTTTGTCTGAAATACACGAATTTGATAATGAAAATGTGAACAAACCACTATTTATCGAGATATTTCACTATAAAGTTACAAATTCCGCCTTCTTTTCCGCCTGTCTTCTGGATCCCATTTAGAATAATTTGCCCTTCTTCTTCCATCATTGGACAATTTATATATATCACACAATGTTAGACACATTTTTTTTATTGCATGAGTCAACTAGAAATATGATTTTTTTGTGATTTATCCATGTTTAGTGAAAAGAAGGAAGAATATCATTTGAAATAATGGCGTGTGTAATGCATGTGTAATGTCATTTCAAAGCAATCTATTGACATTTGACATCTTGTATTCAGATTGCCTATGGATTAAATGGCCGTCATCTGGTATGCTTGCTCAATAAATAGGAAAAACTCGCCATAAAAATCATATTTCCTGTTGAATTTTCATCTTAAAATGTGTCATTAAAGTACATCATGAGTATATAAAGTGTCCAATGACAAAATAAAAAGAGCAAGTACCTGTAAATGCATCCAACACAAGGGGAAAAGAAGGCAAAATTTCGAACGATAAATAGTGGGTTGTTCACATTTTCATCATCAAATTCGTGTTTTTCAGACGTAAGTACCAAAAAAAATTTTCGAAAAAAAAAACCATCGCATGATGTGCAAAATTACCTAACTCTTCACCCTGTGGTGCATACTTCTTTAATGAAGGGCTTGAAGCAAGAAGGGTCATAATCCACTCTATTGATTCTTCAGATTTTCATTATAATGACACATATATGCCATTCCATTTTATTAGGGATTTCCTGTTAGCAAGGCCAGATTTTAGTGGCTAATAACATTTCTCCTCACATTTGTTTGTACATTTGAAAGGAGTATTGTGTCCCATAAAGCAATAAGCAATAATTAAACAAATTACTTGGTTTTTTTTTTTAGAATTATATCAATGTATGTGACTCATGTCCCTTTTTGTTCTAAGCCTTTTATATGTTATTACTTACGCACTGATGACCTTCGCTTATCGGAGACATCGAAAACATGTGTTTCTGGATTCAGACCTTCGTCGACGAGCGCCTGAAATTATAAAATAACCATTGTCAGTCAGGTAATTTGAATAATATTAGAGACTTCAACACCATGGATGGTCTACAAAATAATCGATTTATTATTATTTCCCAGAGGCAAAATTATCAACAATCAAACACTGTATGACACTTTTTTTCAAGAATTTTATTCGAATAATGAAGAAATGGTTACAGAAACAGATTTAAATTATTTGCAATAACAGCACTATCCAAATCTATCCAAAGCAGCACTGATAATGGAAAACTAGTTAAACAATACACATAATTATTTTATATACAATACAACAAGGATATAATAGGTACTGTCACGAAAGGATGTTTTCCAAATTATTCTCAAATATTACTACTACTATTATTATTATTTCACTGTTCCGTTTTATCAAGTTCATTATATTTCTCAGCAATTCAACTGTCATCGTTTGTGACAAAACATTTTCAATAAAAAAAAACATTTGAGGTGATCGATGATAATCCACGTACCAAGAGGGACTTGACTTTCGGTCCGAATAGCGGACGGTTGCTTGTGGCAACGGGGATGTTCCAATTGGACATCCCCCACAAGTTTTTGTGTTAGATTATTGTAAGTACCATTTTTATTATTCATTAAATCTTAAACCTAATGCCTATTCACGGAATGTCAAAATTGTAATTCATCATTATCATTGATAAATTCATATTTGTCATTGTTGTTCAATCTGTAGCCCTTTTATTGAATATCAACCATCAGCAAATTCCAACTAGCAAAGAAAATAAGTCACATTCGTGACAATACTAGTAAATATTCACTTAAGAACTCTATAATACAAACTAGCTGAGCCGGCACACGTTGTTTTTCCATAAACATTTTTTCTAGAAAATATTGTTTCTGTTAAATACACACTTTTATCATTTCATTTTCTACTTCTTTTTAGTTTGGCTATCCATAAAATCGTGTTTCTTTGGTTTTTCAAACTATTCTATTCATTTTCTACTCCTTTTTACTTCGGCAATCTATCTCTCAATTTTTTTTAAACAACTCTTTATTTTCTATTTACTTCTTTTTAGTTTGGCTATCTATGAAAGGGTGTTAGCTGACCCGGCAAACGTTGTTCTGCTATATACATTTATTTCTAGAAATAATTTTTTTACTTGAATATTTATCAACACACTTTCATTATTTTGTTTTTTACTTCTTTTTAGTTTGACTATACATAAGATCGTGTCTGATTAGCTCCTCAAACTACTATTTATTTTCTACTCCCTTTTAGTTCCGACAATCTGTCTCGTCTTTTCAATTATACCATCAATTTTCTACTTCTTTTCGGTTTGGCCTCGAATTTGGCTATCTGTTTAATTATAGTTTTCCAACTATTTATTACAAAACTTCTTCGCCATATTGGATCCACCATCTTGAATTTCCCAATTTTGAAGGGCAAAATCATAAGCTCCGACCCCGAAAAACCCCAGATACAAATTTTTAATAGAATTGGATCATAATGACAAAATTCGTTTGCCATTTTGAATAGAATCGGATCATAATTATAAAACTCGTCCGCCATATTGGATCCGCCATCTTCAATTTAATGATTTTGGCGAAGAATCATAATCTCCGACCCCAAAAACCCCCAGATACCAATTTTGAATAGAATTGGATCATAATTACAAAACTCGTTTGCCATATTGGATCCACCATATTGAATTTGCAAATTTTGATGAAATCATCATAATCTCCGACCCCAAAAACCCCCAGATACAAATTTTGAATGGAATCGGATCATAATTACAAAACTCGTTCGCCATATTGGATCTGCCATCTTGAATTTCCAAATTTTGACGAAAGAATCATAATCTCAGACTCCGAAAGCCCTCAGATACCAATTTTGAATAGAATCTGATCATAATTGAAAAACTCTTCCGCCATATTGGATCCGCCATCTTGAATTTCCAAACTTTGACGAAAGAATCATAATCTCCGACCCAGAAAATCCCCGGATACCAAATTTGGATAGAATCGGATCATAATTACAAAACTCGTCCACCATATTGGAACCACCATCTTGAATTTCTAAATTTTTACGGAATAATCATAATCTCCGACCCTAAGAACTCCCAGATGCAAATTTTGCATGGAATCTGATCATAATTACAAAACTCGTCCGCCATATGGGATCCGCCATCTTGAATTTCCAAATTTCGACGAAAGAATCATAATCTCCGACTCCGAAAACCCCCAGATAAAAATTTTGAATAGAATCGGACCACAATTTAAAAAACTCGTCCGCCATATTGGATCCGCCATTTTGAATTTCCTAATTTTGACGAAGGAATCATAATCTCAGACCCCGAAAACCCGCAGATACCAAATATGAATCGGATTACAAAACTCGTCCGCCATATTGAATTCGCCATCTTGAATTGTCAATTTAAACAATAGGTAACGACCGATTCTCATAGCTACCGAATACGCTTAAAAATTTTCATCCGAATCGGTCGAGCCGTTTCGGAGGAGTGACAGGGAAAAGATAATTTATATGTTAGATGTAGAAAAGGAATATTCTCAGATAAATTATGAACATACAAAAATGGATAGATATTATTTATATAAAGCAATACATTGAGAATTCGCATTCTCTATGTGATGAGAATATTTACTCTTTTTCAGTTAATTCAATAGAAAACAACTACTTTCATGGCTATATGCCACGACGAATATTGAATTATATCTATTGAACACACACGATAAGTGTTTGAATATAAAATATAAACATTTCTGAAATTGAGAATTTGCATTCTCCTTCAGACAAAAATATGTATATACACACATCACTCTGAATATTCAACAGAAAACAACTACTTTCCTGGCTATTTGTTTTCTATTGAATTAACTGAAAAAGAGTAAATATTCTCATCACATAGAGAATGCGAATTCTCAATGTATTGCTTTATATAAATAATATCTATCCATTTTTGTATGTTCATAATTTATCTGAGAATATTCCTTTTCAACACTTTCATACCCAATCAGGGGGTTCAAACTTGAACGATGGAAACTTGTGATTTTTATAGACCTCTAATCGCAGATTCGTGATAGAGTCTCAATTCAGAATTCATTTCCACGCCCTGTATGATGAATGTCAATTTATCATACACCCAAAAGCATGTTAGATGTAACTTAAAATCTAACAGTAATTCTGGGATAGAGAAATGAAGAAGAGATTTATGCCGATAATTCACTAAGTATGCAAGTATGAAAACTTTTTATTTTATTATTGGTCTCATTTGACTCTATCAACAAGTTAGTTTCCGTGAGCGAAGCTCTCGGCCGGAAACTTTCTGTTGCTATGTCCACATTATTCAAATTCAAATTTGGCGCTTATTTATGTCACAAAGAGGGCGATACTCAAAGGCATTACTACATTAGTTCAAGAAATGTCGAAAATGGTAGATAACGAGAGAAGAAGAAGTACTTTCGTGGCTATATGCCACGCAGAACATCGAATTACAACCGCCCGATATCTATGCAACGATACGTGAAGACGAATACAGCTGCAAGTGATTCTTTCCTAAATGCTGAGCTGTGTCCAAATTGTCCAGGAACTCTAGACTACCTACCGGTTAAGAGCTTTGGGCTCTATCAGTGTATGGGTGTCTCCAGATGGCATTCTTGACCGCCATCTGGTGCGAACCTGACCCAACACAAACATATCCTATCATTTAATACCCACGAGGCGTTCAGCGTCTGCAAGATGGGCACGAATGCCCCCTGAGTAAAACGAAAGAAACATCCCATTTCAGATAGAATGGGAGTGGCTGATTGTCCGATTGGTTTTCTCAACTAGGAAAGAGCCAAATACACAAATTGGAATGAAATGGTCACAAAGAGGAAGAAACTCAAAGTCATTACCACATTAGTTCATGCAATGAATGGAAATGGTAGATATGCCACGCAAAAAATTGAATTACATCCTCCTGATATCTATGCAACAATTCGTAAGACGAATACAGCTTCAAGTGATTCTTTCCTAAATGTTGAACTGTGGCAAATTGTTCAGGAACTCTAGACTATCTACCGGTTTCGAGCTTTCGGCACTATCAGTGCATAGGTGTCTCCAGATGGCATTCTTGACCACCATCTTGTGCGAACCTGGCCCAACACAAACATATCCCAGCATTCAATACCCACGAGGTGCAAGATGGACATGAACGCCACCTGAGTAGAAGGAATGGAACCCTCCAAAACAAATTCTCATTCCAGATAGAATGGGAGTGACTGATTGCCCGACTGTCGTTTTTTCAACTAGGAAAAGCCGAATACTCAAAGTGGAATGAAATAGTCACAATACATTATGGAATTTTTGTTGAAATTAAAAAAAATGGCTGCTCCAAGATGGCGGACAAGATTTCGTCCGATTCCATTCAAAATTGTTAAGTGGGGGTTTTTGAGGTCGGAGATCATGATTTTTTTGTTAAAATTTATAAATTCAAGAAGGCGGCTACCAAATGATTGTTTGTTCTTGTATAAATGACGATAACTCCGTTGTTATCAACACAAAACTATAACTGCGACATATCATCTGTAAGAGAAAAAAATGTTATTTGTCATAGTGAGCTATGACCTACATTTGAAAAACTAAAGTTGGTGCTGATATCTCAAATTCTAGAAGAGTTGGTATAAATTTCATATTTTTTTCGAAATCACTTTGAAAAACTGCCATGAGAATGTGAAATTCCTATTTGAATATTTTCATAAATAAAGAAATTACGGAGGAGACAAGAGAATGATCAAAATCTGTTTTTTGCGTATAAAACAAAAACGAATAGATTTTATCAAAATATTTTTTCACATTATAGTTGACCTAGATAAACTCCACATTTGGTGTCATTTAACCGACCTCGTATCACTCACCGTTAAAAAGATACCCATGGTGACCATGGTAAGTGGGACACACTGTAGAGGGCGTCGTTGACCGAATATTCGATTTTTTCGGATTTTCTCAAAAAATTCAAATG